CTTTTATGCTGTGTAGTTACAGCTGACATAATTGGAGAAATGAGGAAGTTGGAAAGTGAAAGGCAGCAAGTGAGGATTTCCCCCTTGTCCGATTTTCAAAGACATACAGTAGGAAAATGTGTGCATTTTCAAGTTAAAATTGAACTGCATAGGTATTTCCACCCCCAACCCCTTTATTGCTTGCTGGAGTGATGGCTGGAGAAAAACAAAAAAAACAAACAAAAATGGTGAGGGCTGCAGTCGGAGCTGTCCAAAGGTCAATGAACCAAGCTAGACTGGGAGCTAAAAAGAGAAACACTAGTGGAACCATTGTGACCTCGAACTTAACTATCTGGAAGGAGAAAAAACAATATTTAAAGTAACCTATTATTAAATGTTATTTGAATAGAACAAATAGAATCATCAGTAGAAAATAAAATTTGTATCAATGGCTACTTTAAGAAAACCTGGTATCTCCTCAAATGTATTCTATTTCCAAATAGGAAGATTGTAATATCTTACAAATTGTTTAATTTAATAACAGTCTTACTCTCGTGAGTTTCCATTGATGCTAATGATTCTTACCATTTGGGGAAAAAACTTGTTTCTAAATTTCAGCATAATGTAATTACATACTTAGCCCAAGATAGCCTATAAATAATCACCTTTTTGCACATAATTATCTTGAAGTAATTAAACATTATCATAACTACTTTTAGTTACAAAACACATTTTACTACAATTCAATAGACAATTAAAATTTAACTATGAAGGTAAAATATTTTTTACAAATTTAGTAGGCATCTAATGAATAACTTTATCTTTTCAACAAATTTTTCCTCTTGACATATTGAGGTATCACATTAAAATACATTATGGCTAAATGTTCTACAATATTACTTCTAAATCAACAGAAAACCAATTGATCTTGAGGAAAGGTTAATTAATTTAGGCTACAGGTCTCCTACTTTAGTCTGCATCGAATGGAATTTGTATTGATTGGAGACGTTTTTATAAAGAAATTTAATAATCATTTTTCTGGAATTGAGATCAACTTTTTAAAGTGCCAAAACAACGAGGTAAAATTTTGTCACTCCAAAAATACTTTTGTGCTATGGTTCATTCAAATCTGTTCGAGTCCTGTAAAAACGCAATGTTTTTCTACTTTCAGTGAAAACAGTTGGGTATCTGGCCGGCAGAAAATGAAAACAGAAGTTAAGAACTTTAATAGGATTTTGTTTGTTTAATCCTTCCTCCCATAACAAGTCTCACCAGTCCATTCTGCTATGAGGGGACCATGAAGGACAATGTAAGTTAAATTTCTTCCTTGATTTAAACACTGTATTTGCCATAATGTAGGAAACAGACTGAGCTGCCTTCTACTTGGGAACACTTCCAAGTTGTGTAGTCTCTGCTGAATTGAACTGGTGAGCTTTTCTCTTTCCTTATCTATATTTAGTTGTCTTTTCGCTTTATCAATTTAAAAAAAATGTTTCAGGCCTGGAACAAGGTGAAAGTAACATTTGAAGTTTCCTTCCAGGCACTATACTCACTCCTAGCACACTTTTCTTTTTTCTGAATGTTTGCTCCGCAGCCTTGTCTGGTATCTGAGGACCTCCGGAGCTTTTTGCACATGGGTGTGTTGCAAGGTTTTCCCTTCTCCCTCCCTCCCACCCTCCCTCCTCTCCCGGGGACCCCTCCCCCACCTCGGGCGAAATTCCTAAATAGAGCGAGCCCGGTGCCCCGCAGCTGTGCGGTCCGCACCCCCTTTCGGGCCCTGGTCTGCGGGAGCATCCTTGGTGAAGAAACACCGAAGCTCGACGGAAAAGCGGGGAGCGGTACCCGCGAGGAGGGTCCCAGCACCCCCGGGGCCACCGCTGTTACCCCGCCCGGGCGCGGCGGCGGCGGCGGCGGTGGGTCTGCGTTTCCGAGGACGGGATGACGCGGGCGTCGGGGCCGCTAGAGCCGGCACGACGGGCCGGCTTTCTTTGTTGACTTTTAAGTCTTGGGCTCAACAGCTCCATTCGCCAGGAGGGGAGAAGGCCCACACAGAGAGGGACTAACTGCACCGTCACCTCCAGATGCTTTGGTCCTGCTCGGCCCTCCTTCCGGGCAACCGGCCGCCCGACCCGGCCTGGGTCCTAACGCGCCGGGACCCGATGGCAACGCCCGGGGGTGGCGGAGCGGGCGGAAGGTGCCCAGAGGCGGCCGCAAACCCAGGCAGAAGCCCCGAGGCGAGACCCGCCCTTCCAGCTCCAGGCCGTTCCCCAAAGTAGCCGGGAGCCTGAAGCCCGAGGCTTCTCGCCCCGAAGCCCGTAGGAAGTTTCCGCCCAGGAGGAGAGCGAGCTGAGCCGACGTCCCCCGGGTGCGGGCAGAACGTAGACCCTGCACCGCAGAGAGAGGGAAGGGAGCTGCACCGAGGGGACGCTCGCAAACCCTTTAGATTCCGTGCGGCCGGATAAAATCCCGACGCCCAAGCTCAGCCTTATATTACATTTGGAATTCAAATTTGCCAACGTCTGTTTACCCGCTCTCTAAACACAAATACATGTTGGGATTGAAAGCTTTATCCTCTTTGGACCTTTAGTGTCCTTCCCCGGCCTCCAAATTAGGTTTTGAAATGACTCAAACCAGCAATTTCCCTCTGCTCCTTTCATTAGCTGAGGTGAGAGCCAGGGGTTTTGGGATTTCTGGATCTTTCTCAAGTGCTACATGGCACCCCTTCTCTCATCTGGGGAGGCAATTACTCGACAATTAAGGGACTCACACAGCTCTTTTTATCTTGTCCTCAGTGTGGAGTGGGGCGATCAAAGTAAAGGCTGTCCAAGTTCAAGCCCTGGCCACGATGGGGTTCACACACAAGGCCTCAGGCAGGCCAGCCTCTGCTTGGGCTGGTGTTGTTATTGTTGATGTCAATCCTAACAAGGCTTACAAAGAAATAGGTGGACTGGAAAGTGAGCCTACTATCAAAGGAGATTAATGATTTGGTGATCTCAAGCAACTGTAGGGGTGTGAAGTTGCATTTTAAAGCTTCTTAGAAGGCAAAGAAATCATCGGCTTTAAGTTCTTGGGAACAATATTTTTTAGAAACAATATTTTAAAAATATCTTCACACAAAACAAAACAGTAGCTAGTGAAACGGCCTGCTGGCACAAAGCTTCCCCTGCAGGAGTGAATTAGCTGGCCTTCCTTATCCCCTGCAAAGCTACCACGATGGTTAAGTTTTGTTTCTCTTTTTAATGTAAAGAGGATTCAGGATTCTCTGTTTCAGACAACTTAATTTTAACAGCCCCATCTGATATTTTATTTTCATTCAAATACTTTTCAGATAAAGGAAAATGGTACCTTGGGAAGGAGGGAAGGTTAAATTAATTGTATTTATTTCAGTTTATTTAATTGTGTATTTAATTTCAAAGAGGTCCATGATCCACTGGTAGATCTCAAAGAAAACATAGTAGGTTTAAGCCCATGTCAAAAACTGAAGTAAGCATTACTGAAAATAAAGAATCTTAATCTCAATTCTTGGGATATTAAATCAATTTATCTATCCAGTTTTATTGAACTTCTTTAACCTTTTTTTTTTACTAACTACATGTTCCTATAATAAACATACACAAAACAATTTTGTTTTAGATTATTTTCCTTTTTGTCACTTATATTCAGTGCCAGACTTTGAAAAATATCATATTCAGATATCTATTTTGGATTTAATTAAGGAAAATAACAAAAATACTTTTTTGTTAACATTTGATTTATTTAAAGTCCTTAACTGCAAATGATCAAGAACATGTGCCACGGCTTAAAATTTATTTTCATTATTTAAATCAAAATATTTTAATTACAATCACATTGATAGAAATTAACATTTTAATTTGTATCTTTAACCATCATTTAAAGCAATTTCAACTGTAAAGAAAAAAAGAATAAACCATGCAATAAATTAACATTGAGAAAGCAAAAAGGAATAATAATGAAACCCGTCTGACTATACTAACACCATGTCCAACTGTGAAAAGTGCATTAACACTGAATGAACAAGCACATGATGACAATAATTAAAATTACCACAATCAATTGGATTTTGGAATCTTGAACCAAATTTTGAAATATGGCTCCCTATAACATCTCTCCTCGAACATTGTAATATTCCCTTTTTTTCTGGAGAAAAATATTCTTTAAATGGTATAGATACATAGAAGCTAATTTTATACATGTTATCTGACCTCAGAATGACATGACCATGGCACTCTGCAAAGAAAGAAGCAGAGTCACTGAGAGGGACAATTCTTGGGGAATTGATTCCCAGGGCTATCTGTGGGTAGAGAGGACAAGGCAGGGGGTGTGTTTGTAATTTCTTGGTCAGGCAACTCTTGAAAATGTAGCATGTATACCACCTACCTAGTACCTCTATGCATTATGTAAATATATGGAGGATGTCTACATATCTGAACATGTGCATTAATGTCGGTACATTGTATTTCATTTTAAGCATTTCATTTTAAGACAGCTGCTATCTGAATGTATCAGAAATGTAAGCTGAAAAACAAAAGGCTCTGATGTTTATAATCCGTTTATGTTTTGCTACATAATAGCACTATTGTCCTTCAGTACTTTTAACAGCCTATAGTGTCTACTTGTTTCCTCACTCCTTGAGTTCTTATGGTTAAGAGTATTGCCATAGACCTGTAAAAGAGGGGAAAAAAAGTACAAACAAATATTTTACAAGCTTGACTTTCTTTCTTTTTTAAATAAAGCCTGCACACACTAGAATGTGTCTGGATGGGAAAGAGGAAAGAAAGGGATAAGGAAGTAGGAATATTTGATATATACACTTGTGGATCATTAAACTTTGCAGGGAAAAATTCAGTT